GTGTGTGTCTGGGGGTGCTGTGTGTGTCTGGGTGCTGTGTGTGTCTGGGGTGCTGTGTGTGTCTGGGTGCTGTGTGTGTCTGGGTGCTGTGTCTGGGTGCTGTGTGTGTCTGGGGGGTGCTGTGTCTGGGTGTTGTGTGTGTCTGGGTGCTGTGTGTGTCTGGGGGTGCTGTGTGTGTCTGGGGGTGCTGTGTATGGGTGCTGTGTGTGTCTGGGGGTGCTGTGTGTGTCTGGGGGTGCTGTGTGTGTCTGGGGGTGCTGTGTATGGGGGTGTGAATGTATTTTTTATTTAAATTTAAATATTTATTTTATTAATAAAATATATATTTATATATCCCCCCCCCCTCCCTTCTTACCTTTATCCTGGGAGGGGGGAGGAGGAGATCCGTTCTGCCTGGGGGGTGGGGAGCCATGCTGCCTTCCCTGGTGGTCCAGTGGTGAGAGTGAACTCTAACCTGCAGGTTAGAGTTCACTCTCGCGAGATCTGAGCGTTGCCGCGGCAACGCTCAGAATCCCGCGAGAGGACCCGGCGGAGCTGCTTGTTAGAGCTCCGCCGGGTCCTCTCTCCTCCCTCCCCCAGCCGGCGGCCGCATTTCCCTGTCTGTGGGCCGGTGGGGAGATCTTTGATCTTTGATCTCCCCACCGGCCCATGGAGACACATAGCCGGGCCGGCGCTCGGATAGCGCTGGCCCTGCAGGGGCCGGCCGGGGAGATCCCCTGCCGGCCTCGGCCCCACGGCCATCGCGGCCCACCGGGCATTTGCCCGGTATGCCCGATGGCCAGTCCGGGCCTGTATAGGTCACATTTGGATTGTTAGTTTGAGGATTGCATCGCTATGTAAGCAGGGTGGCACAGTCATCCGCCTGTGAAGTCATGGCTCATTACGCCAAAAGCGTGGCCACTTGTTAGGCATTGAGAAGGTCGGACTGGATGCTGAGCTGGCCACTACAAAGTTGCAAATATTCTTTTGATTTTGTGAGTGCAACTTTTAATTCAAACCTTAACTTTATACACTTGTTCATTTATTTCTCTTACCAACTGTGGAAGTGAACTTCAAATTTAGGATCGATATGTCCAAACTGGAACAAAAATCTCCAGGAGTGCTATACTTCCAGTTCTGCTCTTTTGGCTTTGAAATCCAGACCGTTCTCACTTTAATGAATAACTTTGTATATGTTTGCAGTGTGAGTTACAGGGAATAAAGCAGATTGTTTCACTTTGTGCAGTTTAACGTAGGCTCACTGTTTTTCTCTCGGTTTCCTATAGCCATCAGCTCCATGTAAACTGTGCCTTGTATGCCAGAAAGTTGTCCTCCCTACTGATATGAAACCAATGCCTTGCAGCCATATATTGCACAAAAAGGTGAGCTCTTCATATATACCTGGTCGTTGACCACATAACATTTGTATTGTTCATGACAGTCGTGACAAAAACCACTCTACTCTCAAACAAAATAAACGCCTCTCTCACATGGCAAGCGTAGTAAGAGATCGTGGAATTCGATTAGCCAGTACTGGCATCAAAGTTTATGGTTTTCATGCAATCCTAGTTGCTTCTTCAGATGTAAAATGCATAACAGTCACATACACACTTTCATAGAAAAAAAGCTTTATCATCTTCAGATACTTTGGTTTTGGTATTATGAGGAAAGTGTTTTGTTTTTGTTTTTTAAATAAAATAGCCATTTTGCACTATACACAAAAATCTGTTTGTTTTCTAGTCTTAGATACATTCTTGCAGCATAAGTACATGGAGTGTTACCTATAAACAGGTCCACCTGTTTTGGTTAATAACGTAAAAGTCTGCATTTCTTAACTGCATTTTTATAGCTGCAGTATTCAAGGTCTCCGTTACTTCCTGGTCTCTTACTGAGTATTGGCAACAAAGGACAATGTGTGCGTTTACTTTTAGCTTTTCGTATTCTAAGAATTGTCCTGCAAGGCAATTGCAAATATTGAGCCAAAAAAGGACACATTGGAAAAATATTTCTTAGCTCCTATATTGTGGCCTAACATTTGTAACTATAAATATTAAGACATTATAACCCAAAACTCATATGGTGTTTAATTTTCCTCATTTCATGTGTTGTGGCCCCTCCACTGTATTGTACATTTAATTAAGCAATGACTAAATGAAGAATTTTAACTTTTGTTTGTTTTAATTAATTTTATATTCTGAAAGTTATATAAAATGTGTAGGTGATACTTGGCACAATGTTAGGAGCCTTCCAGCATTAATTAATTACATTAACACCTGAGGCAGTTTTATATGAGGCATCTCTGCAGTTCCCTGTGAAGTGACACTCCTGCCTCAGATGGCTGTAAGCTGGAGGTACATACATGGTCTACTTAAATTCTCCCTCTTCTTTTGAGGGAAAGAACCAGATTACTCTGGGGAAAATGAACCTGCTGAATAAGAGGCGTGAGTCCGAAAAGCATTTGTCTAAAATGTGGGTGTTTAAGCAGAAAGGAAAGATGTTGTGAGTTTTGTAATAATGGCTGCGGGAGGAGATAAGGCGTATGTGGTGGAAGATAGGGAACATGGTATTAAGGACAACTATCACCTCAAAAATATATTCTTAATATAATAAAAGGTTGGGATCAGTTTTCGCTTGTACTTCTCTTGAAAATATAAATTTCCTTTCAAAACTTGATGAAAGGATTGTTATATTAAATAGCTGTCAGGTAACAGTTGTCCTTTAAGGTTGAGGAACATGGGTGACGAGTATGTGGAAGACAAAAAACAAACAAACAGAAAAGGCTGGTGATAATTAAGATGTGAGCAAAACACATTCAGCAGGCAGGGTGGGCACAGGGGACATAGAAGTGGTTATAGGTGGATGGCAGACGCACAGAGGGGTGACCTCATTGCACTGATCTATATTAAACCAAATGTTCTCTGTGAAACTGAACTCCACCATTTGTGGGTCTTTAAATGGAAAATCAATGCTTACGGTGATATCCTTCCTTCCAACCAACTATTTGTGTCTCTTTCTCTCTAAAGTGCATTCAATTCTGGTCCAGTATAAATCAAACGGATTGCTGTCCCTTCTGTCCAAGCCAGAATAATCATCAGCGATAAAGAGTGCAGAAGTCATTGACGTTTGCGTGACACATCGGTCTAATGCTCCAGCAGCACTGCAGAATGGAATTATCTGTATATACTGGACACATTGAAAATGTTTTGTAAAATATAATGTTTCAGATTTAAGTGTTGCTAACCAGTTTATATTGCTTTACAGTTTAATAAACCCTCTGTGATTTCTTTCTTATCACAGATCCAACTTGCAACTGTTTTCCTGTAATATTTCCATCTGTGCAATATTTAAAGGCAGTTTTTGTGCCCTCCATGCCTTTTAAAATACATCATTTTATAAATGAGGGTGTGAGCAAGAATGGGTAAACATTTCTTCTTAAAGGAACAAACAAACTGTATTTATTAGTAATAAAGCCATAATCATTTGTGTCTCAAAGAGAACTTAAAGGGACACCAATACAGCTTTTATGCATTTAATAGATTTTTTTTTTTTTTGCATGCTCAAATCTTTCACAAAATAAATAAATGTTTTGCAGAATTCTACACCACAAGCCTGCCTCCTTGGCCACGTTCGCTCATGCCAGAAAAAACATCCTTATCAAACGTATGTGAGCTGTTTTCAATTCACAATCTCGCTGCAGACAGTCAGAGAAACTGCAAACAAGTAGTGATATACTTGCTATATGTCTCCTTCTGTGTCTTCCTTCTAATGCAGGTTTTGTTGTTCAGATCATTCACTGCTGTCACTGGCTGAGCTGTGTACATATATTTGGTTAGGTAGTCTATTCCTAGCGTAAGGGGTGTGAACATGTAGACTGATGGTGCAGCATTCTGCAAAACATATATTTTATGCAAAAAACTATAAAGATTTGTGCATGAAAAATATACAACATATAAATGAAGCAAAAACCTGTCAAATACATTAAAGTAGTATTGGTGCCCTTAGTGTCCCTTTAACCCACTGCAATCATTTCTACTACACCCCTACTTGTAGAACTGCCACACAATGATTATACTGTCCTTTAAAACAAAGAACAGACCAAATATGAAACTTGGATTTTCAGTCAGTGATACGGCACTGAAAAATTAAACCTTTGTAATATGTTAAACAGTTAGATTATGAAGTATTTAATCACCCCCATCCATCCAAATACAAGGTACCTTCATTAGTGCCATTCTGTTTCCTCAAACACTGAGTATAGAAAACAGTTCCTGCCAATGCTTAGGAATTGTCTTTTTTTTCCAAGTGTAATACAAAGGATACATTTCTTAAAGGGCCACTCTAAGCACAGGGCAGTCCTTCTGTTTTCAAGTGGCTTGAGAAAAACCAGGGCTATCTCGGCACCCAAAACTGAGCCCTCTTCCGGCACTGAGATAATATACATAAACTTCACTTTCACATTATTTGTGTAATTGTATCCAAATTTGCTAAAGAAACTTTAACAAACAAAAGGAGGTGGACTGCAACAAACTGCTTGCAACATAACCACAACAAAAAAAGTTGTACTAGAGATGGTGTATTGTTTCTTTAAATTATTTTCCGTTTTCTAGATTTTCCTCGTGTTCAATTTATCTTCAGAACCGTACTATGAATTGTGGATTATTTATACAAAACAATAATGCAGCGTAAGTCTAATCGTGGTGCAGTGACTATGTAAACCAGTAGTATTTGTCTGCTGATTGCCCAGAACTTTGAAACAGTAGTGTTAAAGGCTTACAGGTTAGACTCTGATTTCAATGGAAGTTGTAGGAATTGAGCATGGGCTCTGACTGCTGCATTTTTCAATTATTCAATACGCAGCTGCTGATGTATGATTTTCCCAAAACTAGGACCCCAAGTACCAATACCATTATTTTGAAGTTTTTACTGGCTATTAAGTTCTAAGGTCATTATATGAATATCTCATCATTAGTACTCATACCCTGTATTCCCCTTGTCAGTCCTTTTGTGTTCTAGGTCCTGTGACTACGGTTTGCACTGTGCAGGAAATTATATAACTGGTGCGGCTTCTTTTTAGTTGCGTTTAATTAATTTCATTTTAACCCATAGCTGTAAACATCAGTCTGTACTTAACATATACCTTGTTAAAAGCAGCTTTTTTGGTCCATAATCATTTGCAGCCCTACTGGGACTAACGCAAGTAATTCTGCTTAGATGGGCACTAATTAGTAACTCTTTATCACTTGTGGGAACGTAGCATACTGCTGTATACAAGCTTTATACCGTCATCTTGTTTTTGGAGCAGAATATCAGATCTATACCCAGAGATGCACCAATTTTTTTTTGGTAATCACAGCTACACCCAAGATACTGGTCGCAAACAAGCACTTTCCCATCCTCTCTCTTTTTTAACATTCATTATTCTCCATTATTAGAATACATCTAAAAAAAGTTCCATTCTTGCTGGATCGGTCGGTTCATTAGTAAAAGCTCAAAGTAAACACCTCTCAGTACTGTCATCCTTAAAACTAAACCCCAAACTACACGTCCTATTTTTCCTCAATATGGCTTTGTGTTTTAAAAGCTCTGTGGTGTTAGTCTTTAGTTCAGTATTCCAGTTCCATTTGTTTGCTTGGTCACTGTAAGGCTAATATATAAACCACCATGTTTCGAAGGGTTCCTTGTACCCATTGGTTTCTTATGGCCTCCTGATTTTGGAGTCTTGTGGAGAAGTCGTCAGAGCAATGTTGCCCGAATCTCCTTGAACAGATTCTGAGAACAAACTATAACGTGGGTGACTCCAATTTGGGGGGCTTGGGAGGAAGAGCACAATTCTCTCACTTAAGTAGGGAAATATCATCGAGATCGTCCTTTCCTCGTCTTAGACAGCGAAAGCAGCGCCACTGGAACAGCATGAGGCAGAGGGGTAGCATGAAGAGGGCACAGACTCCTGCCATTACGTATGCTGTGGTCATAAGAGCAGACTCATCCAACTGTGGGGTATTGTAACCGCAGTCCTCTGGATCTAGAGTGTAAAATGGGCCATCCACAGACGGGGCACGGAAATCATCTTGCACTGTAAAAACAGGAAATCATAAAAATGTACAAAATTCAATTTTGGAAATATAACATTGTTTAAGTTTAGATATGTGATCTGGGGGAATTGTTTTGTTAAAGGAACACTATATTTGGGAATACAAATTTATCTTTTTTTCCCAGCAATAAGATCAAGTCTCTGCAGCTGTTCGATATGCCAACCATGACATCGTGCTGACGCCTTTAAAGTCCAATCCAATGCTCCTTTATTGAGAAGCTTTGGGGAAGAAAGAAATGCATGCGCAGAGGTGCTGCACCCCTATTGGAGGTCAGCCGTGAGTTTTACTTGGTTTTCACAGCGAAAGTGCCTCTAGTGGATGTCAGGTAGACGGCCACTGAAGCATATTTAACCCAGCAATGTAAGCACTTCTATATCTACTAAAAAAACAATGCTTTACATTGCACGGTTAAAACTAAAGTATCCTAGAACACAGACCATTTCATTGAGATTTAATGGTCTGAGTACCTTTAAGTGTTTGCTCTTAAAGGGACACTATAGTCACCTGAACAACTTCAGCTTAATGAGAAAATACAGTGTTTACATTGAAAGCTAGGAACACCTCCAGTTGCAATCACTCAGAATGCCACCAGAGGGACTTCCGAGTTGATTGAGGCATAAAACTCCTCCATCCACTCAGATCTACTGTCAGCAGAGCACAGGGCAGCACTGTGCACAGCATCCTGTGATTCAGTATCTCCTCCCTCTGCATGTAGGTACTGAACTTTCCTCATAGAGATTCATTGATTCAAATCATCTCTATGAGGAGATGCTGATTGGCCAGGGCTGTGTTTGAATCATGCTGGCTCTGCCCCTGATCTGCCTATTTGTCAGTCTCAGCCAATCCTATGGGGAAGCACTGTGATTGGATCAGGCTACCACATGTCAGCAGACTGCTTGTTTTTCTGAGTCTAACAGCATGCGGATTTACAGCTTCTGGCTTGAATACAGTAAGATTTTTTACTATATTTATGGAGGCATGAGGGGCCCAGGGGGGCTAGATGGTGGTGTTAACACTATAGGGTCAGGAATACATGTTTGTGTTCCTGACCCTATAATGATCCTTTAAAGTAAAATCAATTAATTCTGCGTGCCTTTAAAATGATCATTGTACTGGCTGTGCTAAAGGAATATTCTCATACTTGTGTTCTGTGTTTGTGAAATAAAATACATCAATGAGTGGGAGAGATGTGGGCATAACATTGCGGTTTACATTTTAACTAATAAAAATCTGAATTATGAAAACAGATGAGTATCCTTGATTAGAGATCATTCTCACATACTTCTTAGAGGCACCCAATCAGGGTTATTCACTGTGAACTGTGGGAAATTCTAAGTGAATTTGAAATTTTAGTCTAAAATAGGCAAACCTTAAACATAGCTGATGTAGATAATTTTTCCAATTCAGCGATTTTGTCACTTAGAAATCCAAACATTTACTCAAGGAAGTCAAACCATTCAAGATCGGTTTGAAAACTTATCTGGGACATGCCAGACACCAACCATTGCCTCCTCTGCAGGTGGAAACTCAACCACTGAACTAAGTCCAGCAGAGCAAGGAGGCAGTCAATGCTCAGCCGACACTTCCAGCTTTTGGGGACATTGCTGCTGGCACCTGCCAGGACCCATTCTTAAAGGGACACTCGAGGCACTATGTCAGCTTCATCTTATTAAACTGGTCATAGTGTCTGGGGTCTCATGGTAGTGTCAGTTCATTCAGCATTAACCAGTTCTTTAAGTTTTAATGCTAAACGATAGTCCCCGGCAGTCCATCCCTTCTGTACTGCTTTGGCTAATGAGGAAGTATTAGCAAGAGCAGCAATGGGCAGCTGTGATTGGCTAAGAGTGTCAGCTGACTGCTTTTAGCCTATCAAAGCTCCAACTGACAGTATGAATGGGTATGACAACAAGGAAGTGTGTGATCTCTGCATTAGCCACACCTCCACAAGGGGCCGGCTGTGGGTGGCCATGGCCCCTTATTTAGTGTTAATCTGCTCAAACATGGTTTAACACTGAATGGAGGGACAGTACCAGAGGACTCCAGGCACTATAACTAATTAAAAGAGATGAAATGGTTATAGCGACTACAGTATCTCTTTAATATGAACAGTAGAGGTTATGGTGCTTGGAGTGTTCATTTAAAGAGCTGACCACTGAATCAATTCACTGTTCTGGAGCCATTGCTTAGAAATGTATTGATCACCCTGCTAGGGGGACTTTAAGGATCCCACCGGGGGATATTCCCTAAAATAGATCACTCTCTGAAGTTAATTCCTCTTTGCCTTCCTTGCCTCCCCTCACCCACGCGGCTCCCTTCATCTTCCTCTTACTTCTCTCTCCTTTTCCTTCATTCTTTCTATCTCCCTATGCTTTCCTTGTGTGGTGCCAACCATCTTTTGGGTGGGGCCTTAATTGAGGTCGGTTTATGATTTTCTCGTATTCCCACCGGCAGGATAAAAGGAATTGATGTCGCTGGGGAAGGGGACGTTAATGCCCTTGTCTTTTCGCTAATCATTGGTGTTATTAAGCTGGGCACCAAGTTATATACTTCCTTTTCTGTTGCTAATGTTTCTGTATATTACATTAAAAAACCCAGATGGATCATCTCACGTCCCAGGGCTCATGCACTACGTACAGCTACCAATGTCCTCAAAATTTGTATTTGAAGATATGGTGGCATACATTTTTGTATTGCGACACTCATTTTGACTGCATATTTTTGTTGTGTATTGGCTCACTTGAATGTAACTGATATGTTTGCTGATGACCGTCATGGCAAAAATAAAAAATTTTAAAAAAGAAATAAAAAAGAAATGTATTGATAAAAAATATTGCTAGAAAAAGTACTTTATTAAAGCACTGTTCATAATCTTATGCTTTGAATTATGGGAATCTGGGAGGTATCACGTAGGGTGCAACTATATGCATGAGGTTCTCGCTTATCAGCAAAGGAGTGGAGTACATAGGAGACTTATGCAAAAATTCGTTTCTGGTTCTTCTGAATCAAAATTTGTTTAATCCACACGTCAACAAATCGATTCGCTCAGAATTCATCTGTGGAATGTTATATGGAGTAAATCCCAGACAAATCGATTTGGCTTTAGATTTGGACATCTAGTACATATTGTTACACACGGTACTGATGCTGTAAAGATGTCTGATGTTAATGATCTAAGACAGAATTATAAATATTAACAGTCTCTGCTTTCTGTTACAAATCTGATTGAGACAAGAGTGGTGGGATTCTCACCATGACAAGTGCTGACTGCAAACCCAATCCGTCTATGAGCGCGGTCGAAGACAACATAGAATCCCTCCATGATAACGGCTCCCATAACTGTGCCCGTAGAGGATTGTGATATTGCAAATTTGTAGCAGTCATCTTGAGATGTTGCGATGTCCTCCACGGGACGCAAGTATTGCTGGTGAGAAAGAGATATAGAAAACACATCTCTGTTTACTGCCTCAGAGGTGAGGAGGAGAGAAAGTGGATGAGTGATAGAACGTGAATGGAGAATATGGGGTAGGAAAAATGCAGTGAAAACAAAAGGTTTGTGACACTCAAAAACTTCCACATCAGTACTGAGAATACAGTACCTTCAGGGACACACAAGATCAGTAGGCCAACCTGTGGTAGGATGGTGATCCTGAAAGACTGGTTGTTGGTCTCGCCCATTAGATAAAGGGAGATGAAAGGAAATATATGCCATGGGGTTGTCCCCTCTTGCCAGCAAACCAACTGCTCTCCCAGCCAGAACCCATCTGGAAATTTCTCCGTCTGTGGAGAGAAGGAAAGGAAAACTATCCAATTTTGTTCCAAATGGATAAAAATCTTTCCCAATCACTCAGTCACATTTTTCCCTTAACCACCACAGACAAAGCTGAACTCTTGCAAAAATAAAATACTATTATTTTTTTATAGACATTGATGCACAAAATGCAGCGCACCACAACAAACATGATGTCTTCATAATAAGGAGACCCAGAAAACCCCATTCACAAATATAATACAATTTCTTTTTTTCAAAAGGCAGTATTATATGCTATATATGTAAGAGAATCAAGTCCATCATGGTTGAACTTGATGGACTCTTTTTCCGCCACTTAGAATACTATGTAACTATGTAATAAAAAATATTTTAAACAGTGCTACCATATTACAACAAAATCAGAACACATTTATAAATAATATACTTAATGTAATAGTGTAATTTTGTTGACGGTTTGATTACTTGTCTGGGGTCTGCTGGGCTCTCTTGATTGTGATCAGGTGGGGATCTAAGTCCTACACTACCAGCTTAGCTCAGAACCGAGAGCTTCTGGCAGGAAGTGGCAGAAAGGACTGTTCCTTAAAGAATTATAAACCAGTCATTTGAGATTCCCGATTACACCAGACAGTTTTTTCCCCTTCCTCTTGGGTGGTCTTACTTACTGACGATGCGGCTTTAATTGATTTCACAGCAGCTTCAAACACTCTCTTCGGCAGGCGGAGGTTGGTCGTACCACTGTCAACAATGCTCTTATCATAATTATACTGAACAGAAAAATGAGAATGAAAAATGAGACGGGGGTAAAAAAATGACATTCCTCAATAATAACAAAATACAGCATAAATCGATGTAGTTAAGACAACCAGCAGCCCATAGCTCTTCATTTAACTCTTCATCAGTTTTCTTTGGGACCGATTCTTTATTTGGCCTCTGGTATCCGATTGTCTAGAATGGTGTCAAAATGTTCTACAGTGATTATTTGCTTTACTAGAACCTATTTCCCTCTTGTAAGGAGATATCTCTGTGTCTAGTAATAAATACCACACATCTAGTTTTATTATTTTTTTGTACAATTCACTTCTCCATCACAGCCAATTTCACCTTCTCTAAGACAGGATCTGCTCCTCTCATCGTCTGTTACTTCTCAACAAGTTATTTAAGCTAGTAGAAGACCAGTCCATTAAAAATAAAAGGACAAAAACATGTCTGTCTGTGAATAAAGAGACATTAGATGGGTGTTTGGGTTTAAACCTAATGTATTATGTCACCACGTGTTTATTTTTCTTTTTACTTCTGATATTAATCTTCCAAATTGACTATTACATTCTGCAAGCACTATTGTTCTCCGACACAACAAATCTCCTTACATTAAAATATTCATAGGTATCTCTATGTCAACAGACACAAACAATATTACCACCCACAGAAACAGCATTAACATTCCAGGCTCTGAATTCTAGTAAAGTTACATTGTGTCTGGCTATAGTTTTGCATAAAAACATAAATACAGTAGTACATAATGTAAATGGCATGCTGGGCGGGGGTAGGGTCGCCATGTTTGTCTGGACAAGAATCTGTATTTTCTCTGTTGGGCAGTCCATGCTGCAGTATATGAAATTCATGCGCTGTATGTGGAAGTCATTTAACCAATCAAGGCAGTTTTATTTGGTACTCCGGTTTGATTTAAAGGGAAACTGTAGGCACCCAGACCACTTCAGCTCATTGACGTGGTCTGGGTGCCAACTCCCATCTCTCTTAACCCTGCAAGTGTAATTATTGAATTTTTTTTTTTTATAAGCTCCAATAATCACCTTGCAGGGTTAAGACCCCCTCTAGTGGCTGTCTGTCAGATTCTTAGACGACTTTTGGTCTACACAACGCTGGACGTCCTCACGCTATGCATGAGGACCTCCAGCGTCGCCGGAATCCCCATAGTAAAACATTGAATAATGCTTTCCTATCAGGAGATCCTTATGCGCCATTGCCACGCATGCACATTAGGTCTCTCCCGCTGGCTGACGGCAGGAGGAGGAGCGTGGGCGGTGCCTGACCCAGTGCCGAGGGACATCAGCGCTGGATTCAGGTAAGGGTCTGAAGGGGTTTTACCCCCTTCAGCGACGTGGTATGGAGGGCAGGAGGGAGAGGGGCACTGCAGGGTTCTGCAGTGCCAGGAAAAAGGGTTTGTTTTCCTGGCACTAGAGAATTCCTTTAATGTTTCAATTACCTTCCTAAAAAACTTCATCAACAAGTAGAAATCATGTGTTTGAGAAAACATAGCAAATATGAAACCCCTAGCATGTTGGAAGGATGGATTCAAATGCTCAAAGTATGTTGCATGAGTAACTCACTTTTGGGATAATTGTATTTTTTTCCCCTCTAGAACCATTTTATTTAAAAGTCTTTAACGCTGCTATTGTAATGACTGGTTTATAACTAATTATCACATTAGGGACTGTATCTAGTTCCCCAATCATATTTTGGAGACCCAAATACATTTTAGTTGGAGTTCAATCATGTTTACAGCAGTGAGGGAACGTGGAACATTTTCAAAGAAATTAAAGTCTCGCATTTAACTATTGACGAAACAATGTCCAAACAGACCAGCTTGCTTTTGTTGGCTTAGCCTGTTGACGCACTCTCATTATTTTGACATGGAACAGTAGCTTCAAAGAAAAAAACTGTTTTCTTAACTAGGTTTCTGCTTCTGCAGAACAAGTATTTGGAATCTACTAGAACTGAAGCTGCAGCTATACAATTCCAACAAAACACGTAAAGAATATTTTACTACGATGTATTGCATTAACACATGGGATTTTTAAAGGTCAACCATCAAAAGATTTGCAGAACAGATCCACACACCTATCGTTTTAACACAAGTTATCTACTGCCCAACAACAGTAGATTCATGTATCCTAAAATAATCAATTGCTCTTGAATATGGCGTGCTGGTTGTGACGTAGTGAGACGTCAAATATTGTCTAAAATATAATATAGCAAGTAAACCTGCCATTGACAACTGGAGTTGTGATTTACAAGGATGCTATGCTTAAAAATGCTTTGATCAGTCCCTGTCTGTGTAGCTTTTGTGAGTGTGTCACCGACAGGAATCCGCTTTCAATCCAGTATATGATCTTTGTATCTATAACAGGGTTGCCACTTGCCAGGTATGCTGATGTGCAGTACATGAAAAGTGTTTCCCTGTGGTTTGTTGATTTTCTGAGCTGCATGAGGGAAATCAATTGACCTATCTAAGAACTAAGCTCCATGATCTCTCCTGGATTAGGTAATTTACTTCCCCTCTGCGGTTTATGAATTCTACAAAATAAACGCCAACACTTTTCCTATGCTGACCAACAGCCCACGGAATAAAACATGGGTCAAGAAAAACATGGCGAATCTGGAAAACTGAATATATGACTAATACATGTAGTATCACATTTTGTAGCATTCCCATTAAACTGTTTGTCATACTACGTCAATTATAACTTATGGTGATCACGTTCTATCTCACCTCCTTACAGTCCATGCTAAGATCCTGTCCATTGATCTCAATTTTTACAATGATGACCTCATAGTACCACTCCTTTCTGATTGGTGTGTACCAGATACTGCCCGTGTACAGTGAGCTGTCAATCCCACCGATTACCTGTAGAGAGCAGCACATGTGAACATTCTGGGTGTGTCAATGTCATTTTAGATATTTACATAGAAATGGGACTTTTTTCAATAAAGTATGAACGTTGACGTATAAACAGTGATAACATACTGTATTAAGGTAGTATTTTGAACACGTAATGTGAACAGTGACAATACAAACAGAGAAAGGCATCATCTTACACACAGTATGAACAGTACAGACAGAGCAAGGCATCCTCTTACACAGTATGAACAGTACAGACAGAGTAAGGCATCCTCTTATACACAGAATGAACAGTACAGACAGAGCAAGGCATCCTCTTATACACAGAATGAACAGTACAGACAGAGCAAGGCATCCTCTTATACACAGAATGAACAGTACAGACAGAGTAAGACATCCTCTTACACAGAATGAACAGTACAGACAGAGTAAGGCATCCTCTTACACAGTATGAACAGTACAAACAGAGTAAGGCATCCTCTTACACACAGTACGAACAGTACAGACAGAGCAAGGCATCCTCTTACACAGTATGAACAATACAGACAGAGTAAGGCATCCTCTTACACACAGTATGAACAGTACAGACAGAGTAAGGCATCCTCTTACACACAGTATGAACAGTACAGACAGAGCAAGGCATCCTCTTACACAGTATGAACAATACAGACAGAGTAAGGCATCCTCTTACACACAGTATGAACAGTACAGACAGAGTAAGGCATCCTCTTACACAGTATGAACCGTACAGACAGAGTAAGGCATCCTCTTACACAGTATGAACAGTACAGACAGAGTAAGGCATCCTCTTACACACAGTATGAACAGTACAGACAGAGCAAGGCATCCTCTTACACAGTATGAACCGTACAGACAGAGTAAGGCATCCTCTTATACACAGAATGAACAGTACAGACAGAGCAAGGCATCCTCTTACACAGTATGAACAGTACAGACAGAGTAAGACATCCTCTTACACACAGTATGAACAGTACACACAAACAAAATAGCTGGCAGATCATGTAGTATAAGAATACAATATTCAGCACTAAATGGTATTTATATACTTTGTATTAAAAAAGACAAAAATGAATTGGGTGCACACCCGGAATATGCACCCCACCAGGACCCCAGCTTCAGAGACCCCTTTGGAGGTGACCACAGGGAGATATAAATTTGAGATGATTTTTGGATAGTAATGTGATGTATAACTTTAATTGTTTAGTTTTGACACAGCATTTTTTTTAAATTGTGTTTATCACACTAAGATTGCATTATATATATTCACAATGCTCTTACAACAGATTTTTTTAATACACTTATTTAGCACTAGCACTATTCAATTTGTCTCCCACATTGGAATTAGTATAGGACCCACCCATATTGGGGTACTGTGAAGTAGTGGAGGGCTTAACACAATATGGCCTTATGGTGGAACTGAATTCCCATATTTATTTTCTTAAATAGGTGATTCTAAGTAGCCTGATAGAAGTTAGAAATGTATGTCTGTGCATGTACTGTTCTTTAATCTGTATTGTTATGAACGCTGTCATTTGCGCTAAGCAGTCACCACACAAAAAGCATACAGAGAAGAGAAGAAAGGAAACAATGTTTATATTTTGTCTCTACATTTCAATTTCTAACTGGACTGGCTTGCTAAATCTAAATATTTTAAATCTCAATATAAATCTTAAAGTATAAAGAGTATCACTTGAAAAAAAAAAAAAAGTTAAAACAAGTTAGATGTGATTTTTGTTTTATTCAATAGTGTAAACTCCAATAAAGTGTCAGTCTCCATATTAATCAAGCTAATGTTTTGTCAAATTCAATTAGAATTTCAGTAATATGTTATGATACTGCCACCTAGTGGCAAGAAAAATGTGACTGATGATTATTTTAAAAACCAAACAAAAAACAAAGTTTAGTAGATAAACCCCCAATGAAAACATACATATATTTAATTATTTTTTCATTGGGTGTAAACCTAAAAATAGCTTGCAAAATCTGTAGATCTCTTCTCTGTAGCCTTTGTAAGCCCTCCCCTTCTAACCCCGCCCAGACTTTCTGTGGCTGTCCAATCACAGACAGTCCAATGTAATTTAATGAGACGTCTCTGCAAGGCAGGTGCTCTGGGCAATTGTTACCTCTTTAGTGTAGCTCCACTGAGCTAGCCAAACCAGGAAGTAACAGGACCTGTTGTCTGATTGACAGCCAGAGGGGTATAACCAGGTTACTTTATAAAAGTGCCATTTGGATTACGTCTCTGTAAATATATATCTGCCAAGAGGTAAAGCTTGCAGCTTACGCACTTACCATGCTACCCCCGACAGAGGCAGTCATGTTGCTTTCATTAATGGGAAACCCCGCTCCACACAACTGCAGTGAGAAGATGTTGTGGACTCGAGTCTGCTTTACAAGTGAATCGAAGAACGGTTCTAGCGAGTCATCAGGCTGGGTACAGATAACAGAAATGAGTAAGTTCCAAGGAACAGGCAGATTGGTTTATTTGCTAAACTGCAAATGTGGGGAATCGACAAAAGAATAGGTCAAAATAGCATATATAAAAAAGTAACTATAAATTAAGTTCAAATTAACATAAATAACCAAACTGATAACATAGGTGACTTGGAGAATGTATCCAATGTATCAACGCCGGACAAAAAAAATCTAATTTTCATTTCCGACAATTCACAGTTGAGAGAATCACCCTGAGTGGAGTTTGAGAATTATTAAATTTCTGTTACTTTAGTATATTTTTGTGTTTCCCTTGTCAATTCTCCACAATCCTCAATTTACTAAAAAAAAATAAGAAATGTGAGAACAAAGACAAGGGAATGGAAAATATAAAACACAGACAAATAAAACAAAAAACAAATAAAACACAGACAAACAACTGTAATGGTTGAGAACTGCACATATCGACATACATTTGAGTACATAGTCGACAGAAGAACGATATGGACAAGGGGGCGGAGCCTGACATTCCTGAGCGGACCAGACGCATGCTGTGTTGGCTCTCACATTTGGCACTGACAAACCGAGCGGTCCTCACGATACCTCACAAGCAACTTTCTGACACCGATAGCCTGACACGATGATTTGAGGCCTGCTTGTGACAGAGTCAGGGAGAGGCGGCCGCTCTCCTCGCTCTTCAGCTTTCTGTGAGACACCGAAATAATGCTACCCCCCCGACCGGTGGGGGTTATCTCGGTCCCTACTGGTGAGCCCCCTTACTTACTCTTGTGGAATTTATAAATTATCCGCACGCCGGAGACTGCTGCCTACTAGGCAAGATGGCTGCCTCTATAAGGGGTGCTCCGACACAAGCCTACCAACAGAAGCCTCTGGGTGTAGACCCATGGATGCACGCATTCGACAGAATTTGTGCCCGATTCTGGGCCAAAATAGCAAGCAGACAAGCAAATGCCTCACCAGGTCTAGCCCAGGCCTGTCACAAGAAAAGACGCGATGAAGCATCCAAAGTGCACATAATGCAAAGTCTTGAAAGGGAAGAGGGAGACACGGGGCCTGCGGCCTATGCATCAACTCCGACATTCTAACAAGCCACTCTGCAGCAGCTACAAAGCAAAGCACTCTGGATGGGGCCGCAACTATGCGCGCAAGTCGCGCTGGAGAAGGGTTCCCGCTCAGAGAGGTCGGCCATGTTCACCGAAAAGACCCAGAAGCCCTGAGCCGGGTGATGGTACCTACCAAAGCCCTGGCAGGAAGACACAAGAGCCCATCGGCAACCATCAATGGCGGAGCCCCTACACGAGGCTAGATGAACTCTTACTATTATGCGTCTGCAGCCTCCCACCTCTCGGCATCAGCTAAGCAGCCCTCAGAAACGCTCACAGTACGCACGCAGTGCTAGCAGTACCTACTTAATATGTTGACAGTCATGTATTACCAGGCAATCCAGTGGTCACTAACTCTTGTTATATTTGTAGCTCCTTTATTTTCTTTCATGTTTTATAGCTATGTTTCTTTTAGGCTAACAGTGCTGTCCTGCAAATGATCTATGACACACTCTCATGCTATTTCGATGCAGCCTGTCCTCTCACTATCTAGCATGTTACACAGAATTCTACTTAATTACTCGCCTGTCTCTTACACCTCATGTTATAACACAAACACAGTCAGACGTTACGTCTAACACATGCCTTCTAGTTTTTCTTCTGACTATAACTAATGCATAGCGTCCTACAAAAATTTCAATAAATGTGTATCCTGGAAGCCACACCGTTCTCGATTATATGTAATTCTTACGCATGCCAATGCTGTTGTGGCAAGGCGAACTTGTACTGCTATATGTGCAGAAAAAAAAAAAAGAGAAAAAATAAAAAAGAAAGTCATGGATAAAGGAAATGATCAGGAATGAAGGTAGATGTTAATTATTCAGGGAACAGATGTTCGGTTTTCCAGTGTCACAGTCTGTAGGTCTATTTACAGATTACTCTATTGACACCATTAACTCCTTAAGGACACACCTTCTGGAATAAAAGGGAATCATGGTGGAATATTTCCGTCATGTGTCCTTAAGGGGTTAAACATGCAAAATAAGAAAGAAAACCTGGTGTGTCTAATGTCTACGTGTGAGATTGATTAAACCACCAGTAAATTTAACAATATTAAAAAGACAATAAAAAAATAAACAAATAAACATTTCTCCTTTTACCACCTATATTTCAAAAATATGTTCAGAATCCAACAAATCTACTATATTGCTAAACTTCGAAATAAAGTGTTTCATTCTATACATTTATAGGTAGTGGAACCACACTCAAACCCTCTCAGGAATCCTTGGGTGCTGACCAGACCGGTCCAAGTACCAAGAAGGACCAAATGTAGAATTTAAATGTAGAAAGTAATCCAGGCACTCCAAAAGTCTTCCAAAAATAGGCAATTTTATTGGACCCAAGCACCAATGTACAAGCTTGACAAAGACCTGAGGGTCGAAACGTTGTACTTTGGAGTGCCTGGATTACTTTCTACATTTTATTCTATACATTGTCACATCTAGTAGGAAATCAGCACTGACATTTTAGTAAATAGAGGACCTTTCAGACTTTCGTGGTACCTATCAAGTGCTAAACCAGGAGTAGGCATCCTTCAGAACTCCTGATGTGGACTAAATCTCCCATAATGCTTTGACTGCATTATGCCGTAAGATGTTGCAGTATAAATGTAACATTTTTAGTTTCTTGCCCCTTTAACAATAACAGGAAATGTGCTAATTACAGGATTGATATTGTTTGAAACTAATCGTACATGTAACAAAATATCACTTGTTAGCCACTGGTCTCGAATCTATTCTGTCTCAATTTTGAGATCAATATGTATCATTGATTAGGAGATTCTTATCACACTAAGAAAGCCTTAAAGTGGATTATCTCATGCAAATGACGTTTATACTATTACAGAAAATGTCAACACTGAGTTTTCTCACTCTTGCAATCTCTGAGTATGCCAGTCCCAGGATCCCCTCCCAGTTGGACCCGTTGATGAAGAATTTGTCAGAGTCAGTGATAGACGCAATATTCGCCACGACGGTGACATTTGGGCCGTGTGGGATAGTCACCAAATCTGTGCCCAACTCCCCTTCCCACTTTCCCTGAGTGTAAGGAACATACACCCCTTTTCGGACATCTCGATATGTTCGGGACCTGCAAAATAAACAGAAACAGAAAGCACGTCAATCTAAACTGTCTGCATTGTAAACCTGTCTATTATATTCAGTCTCAGTTAAACGTTTTGAATGCCGTTTGTATTTACTGGAGTTTGGACTAAAAAAATGTAAGTCCTGAATTCTCCAAAATGATATCAAGTTGTGCTACAAGAAGCCTGGGTTAACACTATACAGGTTCACCTTAACAGATGACAGCTCTTAAAGCAACAAGTGTATTATTTATCAAGCTATAAATATCTTTTAGGAGCTAAACTTATGTGTGCCCTCATGTCTCCCACCCCCATGGCCAGGCTTATTTCTCATTTATCTCAAGGCAATGAAAATTCGGAAAGTACCCCCTCACCCTCTTGTATTAAAAAACATTTTAAACTGTTACTCTGCGCACCATAACCACTACAGGAGTACTCTGTACTCTAGTGCATTCCCATTAAGGGGCAAACCGTTTTGCCACATGGTTTAGTTCTGCCGATGTTCTATCAAAATCCCAGAACATGCGCGGTAGCAGCATCAGAATTCCCTTCCCTATACTGCACACTAGAAAACACTACCCCGCAACTTACTTGTACATGTTATTGTTTAGCAATCTATTTAGGACGACTGCCCTCCATGTGCGTCTAACATGTTTAACGCTAACACAGTCTTGTATTATATTCTAATCTTTGTGTACGTTACCCAATCTAGCAAGTCTCCTATATACGCCTGCACCTAACCTGTACCATGATTTTCAGCTGGATAGACCTACCTAGGAATTGTACTACCCCATATATCTCCTGTTCATAACATAAAAATGTGCATGCCTTATCCAATGTTTTGCAAAGCCTGAGGATTGCTGTTGGGGTAGCTCAGGCCTGTTTGTACTACTCATATGCAGTGCAAAAAATAAAAAATGTTTTAAAGGAAAACACTACCCCGATACCGCACATGCAAAGTATACATCAGGTGCACACAGCTCTGTCTGCGCATGCACACATGCACCATAGTGCATGCTGGGCACGCACATGGCACCCAGTGAGGATTCCGCACCTCCCTTCTAGTAGGGAGCAGGCGCCCCACATCGGTAAGACAATTTTCACTGGGTGGGGGATTTTGATAGAACACCGGTTGCCAAGCCTACAAGAATATCAGCTAATAGATATCCAGTTTCTTCAGTTCTGCCTTTCCTTCATTGGCCGAGAGAGTCAAATGAGCGTTAGCTGGCTAATGAAAACTACTGGAGGGCATTGATATACAATATTAAAGCATGTGCAGTGTTTCTCACTAAAATACTGCACATACAGCACATACAGGGTCTTTTCACCACGACCTTAATAACATTGAAGTGGTTATGGTGCTTGGAGTAGCCCTTTACATTTAAATAAAAATTTTAAAAAACACTTTTATTAAGAATATTAGTGGATAAACCCTACACTGTATATATAAAGTTGCTACACACGGTCTGACATCCTGTGTACAGAACAGCCATTTGAATATACCAAAATTCACTGTTTACGGGACTTACAAGTAAATAAAGTACATTTAATTTACTTATGAGTACCACAGGCTATTATGCCGACAATAACTTAGCAGGTGAGGGATGGGCCATAATTTTTTCCAAATCAAAATGTTATTTTTTTTTTAGTTTTTTGTCATCTAATGTAATGTGTCCAGTACCATGACAAGTACAATTTAAATCCCATCCCTTGTGGTTCAAACAAGGGTAACAAAATGTGTGTTTTCACAGCCTAAAATTGGACCACCAGAGAAAGTACCATAACAGGGGTTCAAAATCAGGACTGTCCAGACAGATCTGGGAGTCTTGGCAAGCATTTAACATAACTCTAAACACATTAAAATACACAATTTAGATAAAAACATGCTAAAGCCTCTGGAGTCTTAAAATTACAAACAGAACACCTGATGTGGTAAGAGATAGAGCTGTAAGTCCAAATGATAAATGAAAAAAAACTCAGAAAAAAACATCACCATACGGATTTATAACAAAATCTAAACACTATGTTTTATTCTTTTCCCCCCGTGACAGCATATCAGGGAGACAAGGAACAAACATGGACGTGAATGATTGGCTCGTGTCCTAATTGGGAGATAAAAAAAGATTATTATTGGCCTTGCATGTTGAATAAATTGCGTTCTCCCAGCAGTACTCTCTCACCAGCTGCTATATGTTACAGTTTCTGTGGTTACCGGCCCTCTGTCTCTCTCTATCACACTACTGGAGTGTTAACCTCTGCCTTGCCAAAGACAATAGCTGCGAGCGACTTACATTCGTTATCACTAGAAACTTACAATAAAAGCAGCATTGATAGCAATCTGGCTCTAACCCTAGTTGGCCAAGGAGCAATGGGAGATGTTTTTTTAAAGTAAAAAATGGGGAAGAAATTTCAATCAATCCATCTATTCAATCCATCCTAATCTCAAAACCTCCCTCCATCCATCCATCCATCCAATCCTCCCTCCATCCATCCATCTATTAAATCCACCACAGATCCATTCATCCAAACCTCCCTCCATCCATCTATTGAATTCATCCATCCATCCAAATGTCCCTCCATCCATCCATTTATTTAATCCACCATTGATCCATCCATCCAAACCTCCCTCCATCCATCTATTGAATCCATCCATCCAAATGTGCCTCCATCCATCCATTTATTCAATCCACCATCGATCCATCCATCCATCCAAACCTCCCTCCATCCATCCATCTATTCAATCCACCATCGATCCATCCAGTCATCCATCCAAATGTCCCTCCATCCATCTATTGAATCCATCCATCCAAATGTCCCTCCATCCATCCATCCAAACGTTCCTCCATCCATCCATCTGTTCAATCCACCATCGATCCATCGATCCATCCAAATATCCCTCCAGCCATCTATTCAATCCATCCATCCATCCAAACGTTCCTCCATCCAGACATCTATTCAATCCACCATCGAACCATCCATCCATTCAAACCTCCCTCCATCTATTGAATCCATCCATCCATCCAAACCTCCCTCCATCCATCTTTTCAATCCACCCATTCTACAATTCTCCATCCATCCAAACCTCCCTGCATCTATCTGTTCAATCCAACCCTTCCACCATCCTTCCAACATTCCATCCCTCCACTCTTCCATCCATCCATTCAATCCAACTCTTCTTCCATCCCTCCATCCATCTATTCAATCCAACTCTTCTTCCCTCCCTCGCTCCCTCCTTCCATTCATCCATCCAAACTTCCCTCCTTCCATCATCAATTCAATCCAAACATTTTTCCATCCATCCCTTCCTCCCTCCAACTCTCCCACCATCGCTCCAACATTCCATCCTTTCCTTCCCTTCCTCCACCCTTCCTTCTATCTATTCAATCCAAACCTTCTTCCATCCCTTCATCCTTCCATCCATCTATTCAATTCAACCCTATCTCCATCACCCTCTCCATTCATCCATCCATCCATCCATCCAAACTTCCTTCGTTCCATCATCAATTCAATCCAACCATTTCTCCATCCATCCTTTCCTCCATCCAACCCTTCCTTCATTCCCTTAACCTTACAATTCCTCCATTCTTCAATCCCTCCATACTTTCATCCCTTCATCCTTTCACCCGCTCTGCCATCCATCCATCAATCCAACCCTTCCTCCATCCTTCCCCTCCCTCCATCTTTCAATCCATCCTTCCATCCCTCCCTCTCTCTCTCCATCCATCCAACCCTCCATACATCCATTCCTACTACCACCTCTACATTCACCCATCCCAAGTTAAAACACCTTCTCCAACCAAAGGAAAGCAGGGTTGAAATGATGTTTCCTATTTGCAATGCAGTTTCCAAACTCTGTACATTGTACAACATTCATCTCTGTAAGTTCTGCAATGCTCCGCACCAGCTCACTGCATCCATACACCCCACAACATCTAATGTGCTCATTACTCAAATAAATTATCATCATTATACCATTTGGACTAACATCACATACATATTCAGCATAAACACATGTAACCTTATAAGATTTCATGCTACAAACACGCTATATCCTGTGTAGCAAAAAAGGGGCAGGGGTTGACACGTGTTATAAGGCGCTTGAAAATATACACATATATATATGTGTGTGTGTGTCAACATATAGCGTGCAGTCCAAAGATTTCATCACATCAATAATTCATAAATGTTAAAGCAAAAGTACTTCTCCATGCAGATCAGTGTAAACATATATAAATTGTCAATAATTAAAGTGCATTCCAAAAACATGATCAAACCAATAATTTATTATTAATATTTAGGTATATGTTTGCACAAGTTTGCATGTAAAAGCACCTTCGTTAACGCGCTCCACCAAAACAAAAAAACTCTATATCCTTTGCTGCTATTAAGACGTCATATCATTTTCCTTCTTTTTACCTCCATCCAACATAGCCCTTACCCTAGTATCAACCTGGTGGGATCTAGACTTTGAGTCAGTTCTCCTGCTGTGGGATTAGAGATTATTAAATGGAAATGAGCGTCTCGTGGACCGTTTACTAACCAGGAGGAAACACGTTTTCCAAACTTTCCTTCTCCTTCTCATAACATCAAGTGCAGGCAGGGAACACTCAAAATTCCTAAAAAAACTTCAGCTTGTCAACTGCCCAGCAAACAAATACAGTATGACGCGTTTCGCTTTTTGTGTGCAACGCATTCTGAGATTTTTCACTTACCTTTGTCGATGGTAATATCGCTTTAGGAAAGGGTGAGGGGCAGCGCCAACTGCAAAGTTACTGCTACCAGTGTCTACCAAGATATTGAGCTGTAAAAAAGATAAATTAGCATTGAGAAAAATAATCAAAAACACAATTGTTCTCTGTTTGGGGTTTATTCTCTATACTCCAAATTGTAGTGAAATCAAATTCAAATTGCAACATTTTGACACAACTATAATGGTGCAGCTATAGACCATTCAAACTTAATTTGAGTGAGACCATTCAATACCGAGCACTATTTTTATGTCTCTAACAAGAGATTTTTATTCTTCTTATTCACCAGATGGAAGTCACTCTATTGTTTGAGTTAGCACATACTAGATTTTATAGCTTGGCAGAATCAACAAAATCTATTTACTTACTGTCTTCGTTAAAGTGTTTTAAGTTTTATGAAGTCGTAAATTGAATTAAATCATTGTCTTAAAAGGTATTTGGGTGTCAATGGACAACTTTTCTGTGGCTGTGATACAGATCTCTTAAAGGGACACTATAGGCACCCAGACCACTTTATCTCATTGAAGTGGTCTGGGTGCAGTTACCCTGTCAGTTTAACCCTGCAACTGTAATTACATTGCCGGGTAACTCCACCTCTAGTGGCTGTCTACCAGCCACGCATGTGCTTTAGGGGCTGGATTCGGGTAAGTGACAAAAGGGTTATGCGCTCCAGAGGGGGTATGGGGTTCACATGAGCAAGGATGGCACTATAATCTTGTATTCCTAGCCAATAGTTTCCCTTTAATTGTGACCTGCAGTGTGTGTAATAATATTGGATTATTTCTACCCACAGTTTGTTATCCCCAACAATTTGAAGTTTAGTGAATAATCATGTTTCTTTTCAATTTTAATTTTAAATAACTTTTTATTGAAAGACTTCTAGCACAATATAACAATGTTGAAATATTATTCATAACTGACTATACAACGTATATTTCAATATATAAACATTTTGTATGAAATATATATTGATCATTTCTATAGACGTGATTTATCACATTAAAGAGAGACGTTTAAACGTTTATTCACAGGGTTATTCACTTAAGATTTGAAATTTGAAATTTCAGAACAAAATAGCTGCATTGAAAACAGCGAGCGATTAATAAAGTAAATATATTTATATATTAAATTGATTCTGTTGGGAAGGTGGCGGGTGCCTTGGGAAACCACAGCTTTGATCCAACAACTCGAAAAAATAGTTTGTCCAAGAAATGATGAACGCTGACTGCAGCCTATTGGAACCATAACCACTACATCAGCATGTAGTGGTTATGGTGGCTAAACTTCCCATTTAATGTGCAGAAATACAGGAACAAACATCCCGATTGCTCCTATTTAGGAGTCTCTCTTTTCCTTTCTGGTAATACGCAAATAATCATTACACAGGTATTAAAATATGAAACCGTCTGGAGCCAAGCTGTCAGGAGTTGGCAAACCTCGCCACCTTAGTTTGCAAAAAGATCTAACACTACAATTTTAAGGAGCAGTCAGTGTGGAATCAGACGCCTCTATTCCAAGGTTGGTTTATTTCAATATATTAATGTGTAATTAAACTATAAAATGTGTTTGCAAATTAGTCTAAGGTCTTGTTCTAGCTGACGTCTTCTGTTTTATAAACGGTTATTAATAAGTCATAACGGGAATTACCCTGCCTCTGGTCAGAACTCCAGACCCACCCCCTAAAGTGAAAGTTTCCTTCCTTACATAATTGGAGTATAGGCAGGTTGTTACCATCAGAATACAAGGAATTGTACACAGGCTGCAGACTGCAGACTCGCACTGACTGATGACCTTCGTGGGATGTTTTGCTGCGGTCACGTAGCATTCTAGCACAAATCTTCCAGTATCCCCTTCCCCCAATTAGTAGAAAAGAGAATACAAATCCAGATCAGGTTATCGATTACATAGTACTGCGCTGATAAATTCCGACAATCCATATTCGTGAGTAACATAAACATACCCAGTTTGCAGCTATTTTTTTTAAATTAAAGCAGATTAAAAGCAATTTTTTGTTATTTTTTTTTTTAATTAAAGCAAACCTATCTGAATTTTTAAAAAAATTTTATTCAGCTAGTCAATAACTTGCAAGTCATATATCAGGAAATAAATATCACATTGCTTTTCTTAACCTTGATCTTTCAACTTCTTATTAGATAGCGCCCTACTTTAGTACCCTTATATAGGATTGCCATAATACGGGATCTATCTACTAAACACAGCTCTCTCCATAAACGGGTATCCTTAAATATGGCATTGCCACAAAAGGGTACCAAACTAGTGAGTTATCTACTTATCTTAACCATTGATCGATTTGGAGATGATTATCGCATTCCATTTGTCTGTTTGGAAATCCTGAACCGGAAATATTGGCAAAATTTCAATGAACTGCCAAAATTTGGTTTTCTGAAACTGCAATGGTTTCAGCCGCAGTGCTAAGGAGACAGGGACACTGCACTCAATGAGATGAAGTGGTCTGGTTGCCTATAGACCATGGGTCGTCAACCTGGTCCCTACTGCCCACTAATGGGTGTTTCAGGATTCCAAGTGGGCGGTAGGGATTTCGGCAGCTAAATCCTCTGTTTGAGAGAGTGGGTGGCTGGGCCGGACACAGCAAGCTGGGGCTGGGCTGACAGCCCTAATGATCATTATGATTAATCCTCCCCTCGGACTTTGCCAGCCTGTCAGTCCGAGGGGAGGGAGGAGCTGGGGGATGGTGTGGCTGCCAGCGGCCACAGGGAGACCACTCAGTCTCCCTGCACACTCTAAAATAATTTCGGCCGCATGCCCTGCCTCCTAACAGAAGCTCTGCCTCCTGTAAACAAGCCCCGTCCCACACACGTTTCTGGAGAGCTGCCACCGGACCAAGAGGAAACTAAAAGGTATTTACCTTTTTACAACCCCCTTTCCACCATTCAAATGCCCCCTACCCACTATACAGCCCCCCTACCCACTTCACAGCCCCCCTACCCACTATAGAGCCCCCCTATTCCCCTACCCACCCCCACAGCCCCCTAACCACTATACAGCCCCCTATTCACCTCACAGTCCCCACCCACTATACAGCCCCCTACCCATTATTGAGCCCCCCCATCCCACTATACAGCTCCCCTACCCACTATACTGCCCCCTACCCACTATACAGCCCCTTATTCACCTTACAGTCCCCCTACCCACTATACAGTCTCCCTATCCACCTCACAGTCCCCCTATCCACCTCGCAGTCCCCCTACCTACTATACAGCCCCCGTACTCACCTCACAGCCCCCGTACCCACCTCACAGTCCCCGTACCCACCTCACATCCCCTCTACCCACCTCACAGCCCCCATACCAACTCACAGTCCCCCTCCCCACCATACAGAATCCCTACCCACCATACAGCCCCCCTACCCAGCTTACAGAACACCTACCCACCTCACAGCCCCTCATCCACCTTACGAAAATCGAACCAGATAATATTTAGTCTCGCAGCATCAACCTCAAGGACCTCATTAATCACTAGTAAAGGTAATTTCAATTTACTTTATTGTTTTCTCATTAAACTTTATAAAGTTAAAAACATTATAAACATGGATAAAGTAGAAATAAAAAGATAAATGTACGTACATTTATTTTATTTTCAAAAACACCCTCCTTTCTAAAAAATATTCCGCACGAAAACTGGTGGGCGGTAAGGAAATGTTTCCATCAAGAAAGATGCATTAGTGGGCGGTAGGTAGAAAAAGGTTGACTACCCCTGCTATAGACAGAGTGTAAGGAAAGTTTCAGTGTGTAATTGATATGGGTACATTGTGTGTCAATTATATGTGAAAGCTTTTTGTGTAACAGGAAGGTACGTGTGGAGATTCAGAATGTAAGTGGAAGCTTTGCATATAAAATACAGCTTTATAAGCAATTAAAGAGATACTCTACGAAGCAAAACTACTACATCTTAATGTTGTGGTTTTGGTGCATAGCTGTAGTTCCTTTAATTTGACAATGAAAACCATTACTTTTACTGAGAAGCAATGACGTTTACATTTGTCTGAGAACAAGTCTCTTGTGAATATCAGGCAGACAGCCACTAGAGTCCCTTCCTTCTTAACAGCTTCGGTTTTAAATGTCACAGAGAAGCTTGAATGTTTCTTATGAAAAGCATTGGACGGGAAGAGTGGGGCAACTGCCGTGCATACGCCCTTAACCCCTTAAGGACCAAACTTCCTGGAATAAAAGGGAATCATGACATGTCACACATCTCATGTGTCCTTAACGGGTGAAAGGGACACTATAGGCACCCAGACCACTTCAACTAATTGAAGTGGTCTGGGTGCAGTATCCCTATTGCCCTTAGTGCAGAAAAGTAAAAAACTTACATTGCAGCTCTAAATCTGCCTCTAGTGGCTGCCTACCAGATAGCCACTAGTGGGCTTCCTGGATCCAAACGGACCTTTGGTCTGGAACCTAATGCTGGTCATGCTCACGCTCTACATGAGGACTCCCAGCGTCAGATTGAATGCTTTTCTATGGGGAGGTCTAATGCGCGCATGGCATTTACCATGCATGCACACTAGAGCTTGCTCGTCACAGGCACTTTGGCCCAGCGCAGAGTGACAACTGCGCTGGGGTAAGGTAAGTAAATAAAGGGTTTCTAACCCTTTATTCACCTGCAAGGGAGGCAGAGTGAGATATAGTGCCAGGAATACAGCTTTGTATTCCTGGTACTATAGTATCCATTTAATCGCCAGTGCTTCTTTATAAGATTGGCCAAACATCATCAATGGTGACTGCTGCAATGAGATTTTCTTTTTTGGGGGGGGAGGGAGGGTTAACTTTTTTTATTTATTTTTTTATAACAAGGGGGCATGGGGCCCCAAATCTAAAGAAAAAAGTAACACACTAAAATACCATATATTTAAATACGAGTGTTCCATAAATTATCTGTGCAGTAATAGAGGAGTCATGTGTAGGTAAAAAAACAAACATTTATTCACCATAGTGACAATTGCTGTGAAATCACATGTGAATTTAAATTTCAGGTTATTATAACAGAAGCCAGTTATATTTTCAATTCAGCTATTTTAATCTAAAATTTAAAATTCGAATTTAATTCCTCGCCATTTAGTCGAACTGAAGAATTCTCGGAGTCAGGCATGCTTACATAATATCTGGGATCGGGTCAATATCGAGTCGACCATCTCAATACATAGATAGGAACTTACAAGCTATTGTACAACAATGCCCCAGTTTTCTAAAAGAAAGTCCTCACAAATATCAAATGGGAAGATAATTTATATTTGGTAACATCAGATGTTACCTCTCTTTACACCATAATTTCTCATGATAGAGGCTGTTTAGCGGCTAGAGTATTCTTGGAACAATCCAACAAATTTCATCCAGAACAAATACATTTTATCATCGAGGGAATAGACTGGATACTTCGAAACAACTCTTTCTGGTTCGGTGGTAATTTCTATCTTGAAGTATGTGGTAATGCGATGGGCACGAGGTTTGCCCCCAATTATGCTAATCTCTTTATGTCCCATTGGGAACAACAGTTCATCTATGGAGATGGCAGATGGGGGGCAAACCTCGTGACCTATTGCAGATACATCGATGACTTGTTCCTCATCTGGAGGGGCGATGAGGAATCACTTTTAACTTTTCTAACCCACATTGAGTCTAACGACTGGGAAATCAAGCTAACCACCAACTTTAGTAAAACCTAGGTCAACTTTCTTGACCTACATATGTATATGTAGAAGATGAAATATAGAAAACTAATAATTTTTTTTTTAATAACAGATGTTAATAGCTATATACAGGAAAATAGCTGCCACTTCTAACCTTGGCTCCTCAATGCCCCAAAGGCACAATTACTCAGGATTAAACACAACTGCACAGATGAACACATATTTCAGAACCAAGCATCTACCATCATACAGAATTTCAGGGAGAAGGGATATAAGGACCAATTATTGAATGAAGTGTTTGAAGAAGTCAAATTAAGGGATAGATCTTCCTTGTTAACATATTAAGATACAATAAAAATACTAATACTAAGGAGCCAACACTCATATTCAACTTCAATTGTAAAAACAAACAAGTCAGAAGAATTCTTAATAAACACTGGCCTATCCTTAAAAATGACGATATATTAAATCCCATACTTCCAGATAGACCAGTCGTGGTATATAGAGGAGTTCCAAACCTCAATAGAACTCTAGTACGTAACCACATAAAAACAAAGGAGAATACACACTTTTTAAATGAGACTAAAGGTTTTTGGTTGTGGGAGTTGTGGAGCCTGCAGAAACACCCACAATAAGAGGCACATTGCATCATTCCCACACCCAAAAAATCTAAAACAAAATTTCAAAATCAATGAACTAATTACATGCCATTCAAAATAAGTGATATACACTATTATGTGTCCATGTGGTCTTCTATACGTGGGACGCACTATACGCCCTCTTCATATACGTGTTCAAGAACATATTAGGAACATCTGTAATGGACTTGATAAACACAGTCTTTCCCTACATTTTCTAAAACTCATAGTAAAGATCCTGCAAATATTCAATTTATGGGGATACAGAAAATCACTCCTACACTCCTAATTGGAGGGGAGAAGACCTAAACATATAGAAATGGAAATGAGGTGGATCTTTAATCTAAACACCATGCTACCTCATCGATTAAATAGTGATTTCGAACTATGTCATTTTTTATGATAAAGTACCGTCTCGCCCAAACCCCCCCTAGAAAATTACCCTTATGATTTTCCACTCACCTTTACTATTTATGGTCTAAATAGTTTATACTTTAAATCAAGGACTCTATTTTACATTCTCTTCTCAACACAATATTACAATATATGAATCCCTATGTGTGGGGTAAACAAGAAAACTCTATCTAAAGTTACTCTTGCACTACGTCACAAATATATAGCTCGAATCTGATATGGTGGAGCATATATACTTTCTTTTTTCATTGTCTAAATAATATACTAATGCTCTGAAATTAAGGATTATACTTTATTTTCCACCAGGGTTTATAACACTATACAAAATATGTATCTACATACTCCTTTAAAACATGGGGATGATTCCTATTTTAAATATGGGAATACTTATATACTATCTAAATTAATTATGCTACATTAAAAACAACCCGTTACTTGAAATATGCAATCAATAATCTTATCGATATTTATATGATGTTGATTAACCCTATAAAAATTGTAATGTCATTAACATTAAGATGGTCAAATTTAATTTTGATCGAATTTGATCTAAATCTACTTTCTCTAACCCACACCTACAAGATATCTATAGGATGTTCATTAATCTGATAAATAATTCACAATATTATTCATATACTCAAACGATACAAATTAATTTAATTTATTTACTCTAATCAATTTCAAAAAGTTTAATGTTGATATACAAATCATTGCTACAAGGACACACGCTTATCATTTAAAGGGTTCAAGTATACATTCCAAATGTAGACACTGTTTCACCTCAGAATGTGTATACATTTTATTTAAAAACCATTTGGAAGATATATTCCTTTTTGAACTGTATTTTATTTTATACAAAATGGATATATTAAATGTTCCGTTGTAAGTGATTATTAATAAGACACTAACTGCACTTTCCTATGGTTTATCTCTGTTTTCTAATCATCACTCTATATGAGAGACGATTTGTATATACATACAGACTGTTTCGCCCTTAAACAATATGGCGACTATTGATTTATCCACATATGAACATGAAAAATGGGACCGCACTGAATGATGATGAAAGCAGAATACAGCCGCGATCAATCCGCAATCATGGAGATCCTTTCAGATACAAAAGGAGAGCGGGAGCACAGGAACACACACCGACTGACAAAGCCCACCGGCGAAACGCGTCTCGGACGTCCAGGAGGATTAAGGACTTACTTGAATTACTGTTTTAATACAGTCATTTATTTTGTATTAGTGTTTTTATATTTCAAATAAATGTTATTTTTCCAACTTCTGCCTGTGGACGTAAGTAGTGTTCCTGATACCCATCTATAGGGTTTTGTGCCCCCTTATTGGCACATACATCATTATACTCAGAGCCAGGGTTACATGCTCTGAACCAGGTGAACAATTCTGTGTCCTCCACCACTTAAATTGCAATTCATCTATATACTACACCATATTTGGTTTTCTTTATCTTTAAAGGAACAGTACGATTTTCATCAACTGTTGGTTTCGTGTTACCCGAAAAACACGCCTGCCCAAGTGATCTGAGCCTGTCCTGCTGAGGCTCAGTACCATGTGAGTGGGTCTATATATCTTTATTACCACTCCACTGTTATTTAACGTATCACACGATTGTATTCTCTATCTCAATCCCCACCTCTAGGTTATCACAAATAAACCCAAGAGAGGGGGGAGGTGAGTCATTTACTTGTAACTTCTGAGCACTCCACCTACTGACTGGTGTTGGTTTCCCACCACACAGTCTATCACTACATTTCATATTCTTGTGTTAAGCTGTGAGAGGATTACACATTGGTGGTAGCAGCTTATATAATCTTTTCCACCCTTTCAAGCGCCTGAATACATAATATCACTCTGTATTACTTAAGGCATGCTTACAGTTTGACCACTTTGGTCTTAAATTTGAAATTCACTTTGAAAGCTCACATTTTTGAATAACCCTGTAAATTGTAGAAAATTGAAAACTGAATTGCAAAATTTAGTCAAAAAGTGTGGACTTTTCTGCAACTAGGCTAAGGTCACAACTTGGCCGTTTTTAACTTTTTCCAGTTTATTATAACTTGGTATAAATATTATGATAATGTTATGATGATAAATACTATGATACTGTAACTGTAGCAGAAAACCTGTATTTGTTACTAAACAGACACTGTATGATTAAAGCGTTATTTGAAGTACCATGACCATTTCAGTGATTTGCAGTGATTATAGTGCCTGGAGTGTGCAGAATTTTGCTTTCAAACACTGTACATAAAGGGTTTAACTTCTCTGCTTCCGGAGGCATAATTCCACCTCGCGCAATGTCGTACGGGTGTCATTAACCAACCCGGAGCTAGAGTTCCAGACTGTCTAATGTCAATTCTGTGCATATTCCTTTTTCGTGTGTTAAATATTGTTATTGAGAGGAAAAGAGAAAGAAGTATACTACATTATTTACATTTTATAAGCATTGAATAAATTAATTGTAAGACTAAATAAAACATTGCATATGTTACCATCACACAATTTAACTGTTAGATTCACAATATTAGAAGTAAAATAATTTATGGGAAGGCCTAGGTCCCCTTCTCTCTTTAAATCTATTTAACAATCAAGCCCCACAACAGAAGAACATTGTGCACCCTACAAATATAAGGTGGTAATTAAATGGATACTCCAAGCAACAATACAACTTTAGCATAATTAAATGGTGTATCGATCATGTCCCTGTAATCTCACTGCTCAAATCTCTGCCATTTAGCAGTTAAATTACTTTTGTTTCTGTCTACACAGCCTTATCTACACCTCTGATGGCTGTGACTCACACGGCCTCCTTGAAAGAATGGTTTCAATCAGATCGTACAGCACAGTGTGTTTAATTTAGGAGTTTGTATCTCCTGCTCTGTTAATTGAACTCTAATGACACACAGGAGGCTACTGCAGGCTCTAACAGCTTATTAAGAGAGCAAGACATTCTAAATAAATTCTAAATTAAACTGTGCCTGTGGAACAAAGACAGTTTAAGCATTAAAGGAACACTATAGTCACCTAAATTACTTTAGCTAAATAAAGCAGTTTTAGTGTACAGATCATTCCCCTGCAATTTCACTGCTCAATTCACTGTCATTTAGGAGTTAAATCTCTTTGTTTCTGTTTATGCAGCCCTAGCCACACCTCCCCTGGCTACAGATGTAATTTACCTTAAATAATTGTATCTCAATCTCTAACTTGAAATTTAATCACATACAGGAGGCTCTTGCAGGGTCTAGCAAGCTATTAACATGGCAGGGGATAAGAAAATCTTAATTAAACAGAACTTGCAATAAAGAAAGCCTAAATAAGGCTCTCTTTACAGGAAGTGCTTATGGAAGGCCGTGCAAGTCACATGCAGGGAGGTGTGACTAGGGTTCATAAACAAAGGGATTTAACTCCTAAATGGCAGAGGATTGAGCAGTGAGGCTGCAGGGCATGTTCTATACACCAAAACTGCTTCATTAAGCTAAAGTTGTTCAGGTGACTATAGTGTCCCTTTAAGTCCCCCTTTACATAAGTGTTTATAGAGTCTGTGCAAGTCAGAATTGCATTTATTGACCGAGAGCGGTCAGCTGATACTCTCAGCCAAAGAGTGGCAGGCAAGATCGACTGCAGTTCTGCAGAAGCCAAAAATCATGACTGGAGGAGGCCATCGATGCCCTGTGTGACCCAGGAAATGGGTCCAGGGTATTTCTCACACCATAACCACTACAGCCGGGGTTAGTAGCCATGATGCTTGGAGGAACCCTTTAAGGAACACTGATAAGAGAATTCTTTTTTTCTGTTTAAAATAGCGAAATAAGAAATGTATTTCAATTTACAATTTTTTTCACCTCAACTAATCTGGTTTAAAATGTACGAAACCCTTATCAGTTCTTCACAGTTCCTGGTAGGCAGGGCTAGTCACTGATGTGTCAAATGTCAGAAATTCCAAATTACATTTGGACCAGGTCTGTAAATAAGTGCCTTTTAACGTTTGTAGCAAACAGCTCATTGGGAAAGACTGTCACTATTGGAGTATTATCTGTTTATATATAAACCCTAGTGTGGGCATGCATTGCTAACTAAATCTGAGAGCAGCTTCACACAAATTAAACACTGTGTATCAGCCTGAGGCATCCCACATGTTGAAAGTGCAACTCCCATCATTAGCAGCCAGCCAGTGCCAATGTATAGTAGGATTTGCTGTCCTACCATAACAAAGGCTGGGAGGAGGATGGCCATTCACTAGGTGTAGAGTCAGACAGTAAAACCCTGCCTGCTCCCTATTTACCTTCCCTGTATTATGTGTTTGGATCAGGGTACCAGCAAACCCACGTTTAATATCCCCCATCTAATTATATCTTCTGTCTGTTTCATGGATCAAGGGAGATGGGTGGATGTAAAGGTGTCACCTACCTTCTGAGGAGGGGTACCCACCCTCATTTCAACATAATATCCCTGGCCAGACTTCCCCCTCAGGTTATCTCTCATGTTCAGGAAGTTGCTGTCCTGTCCAGACTCTTCTGTTGATCTCCGGACTCTGCTGCCCTGGGCTCCATTAGGACCTGCTCCATTCTTCAAAGGTACCTTGATGGCCACCTGCCCAGCAATTGACAGTAACCAGGGGAGCAGCACTAGAAAAATGCTGCTTGCACTGGCAGAGGCTCCAAGCTCCATCTTGCCAACCTGCTCCTCCTCCTCTCACTGAGGAGCCCCAGGGGAGACACCTCTTCTTTGGGACCTGTGTCAATCCCAATTCTTTCCCATGCCAGTTCAGTGTATCTCACACAGACCCTGTGTGTCTCCTTCCTCCCCCAGGGGAGATAAGGATGCTCTGATCTAGAGGTCTGCAGGGAGGAGGTCCAAGCTGGATGCTGTCATGTTCCAGGCCCCAGTGTCTCCCACTGCCACCTCCCTCATCATGGATGGATTGGGTGCATGCCTGGGTCTCTCTCACCCTCCCTCCTGATGGTGCCAGGCAGCTGTGTCTAGATCTCCTCCTTTATCCTTGTCTTTACAAGTCAATGGCTGGGAACTGCTGATCTCCTGGTCCTGACAAGCAGGAGGAGGAGGGGGCTTCTGCAGGTCCATGGGAGATGTAGTTCCTGTAGGAGTGGTAACAGTGAGACACGAGGCGATGGATCCACCCGCTGATACATTGTAACATTCCTGGAGGAACACAAATAAACAATGTGACTGTTTGTATCCAGTGTGGGACCAGCGAGCACAATCCATTCAGAACCAACAGATTCTGGTCAGATTGCCCTGCAAGGTGTGATCAGCCCAAATTACTGTCTGTATAAACTCCATCAGCGAATAATAACAACAATATTCTTTTTATTTAATTTATGGAGAACTGAAAAAAATGAATCGAACATTTTAGGTGAAAGTAACTTGCATATTTTAGCCTGAGTTTTGCAGTTAGGCTCTATGTTGTTGTTTACAGGAGGGTTGTGGATATCATCATGGCTGGTATAGCAATCTGTACAGCAGATACAAACCATACCCAGGAGAATCGGGGCTTTTACAGAGCTATTGGAATCCACTAATGGCTATACATGCCCCTCCCCCCCCCCCCCCCATCTTTCTGAACTTCATTACCCATAATGCTTAGCCAGTTTAAAGAATTGGGGAGAGTCGTGGGAAATGCAGTAAATAGGGGAAAAGGAGGATTGCCATTACTGCTTTAAATATATATAAATATATTAATGTCTTAATGACATAATGATCATTATTATTTGTGGTGTTGTTATTTTTTATTATTATAATGCGATAACTCGTGCTCTTTGCAATCAGTAGCAGTTATTGTTAATTACAGTAATAGCAGACATCCCACTCCCCATGGAGGATTCAATATAGAATATTTACTGTATACAGAGTAATAATATATGGAATACTGACTGTATCCAGGGTAACAATATATGGAATATTTACTGTATACAGAGTAATAATATATGGGATATTCACTGTATATAGATAATATATGGAATATTTACTGTATACAGAGTAATAATATATGGGATATTCACTGTATACAGAGTAATAATATATGGGATATTCACTGTATATAGATAATATATGGAATATTCACTGTATACAGAGTAATAATATATGGAATACTGACTGTATCCAGGGTAACAATATATGGAATATTTACTGTATACAGAGTAATAATATATGGAATATTCACTGTATATAGATAATATATGGAATATTCACTGTATACAGAGTAATAATATATGGGATATTCACTGTATATAGATAATATATGGAATATTTACTGTATACAGAGTAATAATATATGGGATATTCACTGTATATAGATAATATATGGAATATTTACTGTATACAGACTAATAATATATAGAATATTCACTGTATACAGAGTAATAATATATGAAATATTCACAGCATACAGAGTGATAAAATGTGGAATATTTTCTGTATACAGAGTGAAATATGGAATATTCACTGTATATAGACTAATAATATATGGAATATTCATTGTATACAGATAATATATGGAGGACTCACTGCATACAGACTAATAATATATGGAATATTCACTGTATACAGATAATATATGGATAACTCACTGTATACAGATCATATATGGATAACTCATTGTATACAGATAATATATGGAATATTTACTGTATACAGATAATATATGGATAACTCATTGTATACAGATAATATATGGAATATTCACTGTATACAGATAATATATGGATAACTCATTGTATACAGATAATATATGGAATATTCACTGTATACAGATAATATTTGGAATATTCACTGTATACAGATAATATAAGGATAACTCACTGTATACAGATAATATATGGAATATTCATTGTATACAGATAATATATAGAGTACTCACTGTATACAGATAATATGTGGAATATTCACTGTATACAGATAATATATGGATAACTCACTGTATACAGATAATATATGGAATATTCACTGTAAACAGATAATATTTGGAATATTCATTGTATACAGATAATATAAGGATAACTCACTGTATACAGATAATATATGGAATATTCACTGTATACAGATAATATAAGGATAACTCACTGTATACAGATAATATTTGGAATATTCACTGTTTACAGATAATATATGGAATATTCACTGTATACAGATAATATAAGGATAACTCACTGTATACAGATAATATATGGAATATTCACTGTATACAGATAATATATGGAATATTCACTGTATACAGATAATATATGGATAACTCACTGTATACAGATAATATATGGAATATTCACTGTATACAGATAATATATGGAATATTCACTGTATACAGATAATATATGGATAACTCACTGTATACAGATAATATATGGAATATTCACTGTATACAGATAATATTTGGAATATTCACTGTATACAGATAATATATGGATAACTCACTGTTTACAGATAATATATGGAATATTCACTGTATACAGATAATATATGGAATATTCATTATATACAGATAATATATGGATAACTCACTGTTTACAGATAATATATGGAATATTCACTGTATACAGATAATATATGTGAGAGCAGCCAAGCTCAGACAGCCACACAGGCACAAATTTAAAAAAACTACATTTCCCTGAAAGCTCTGCGAGAACCGGAATTCGTCGATGAGCTACCGGATAGATTGATAGCTCGAGGATCCAATAAAACGCAAGGATTATGTTAGCTGGCCAATCAGAGCTCAATAGTGGCAGGATTACGGCGTTGCTAG